AAGTACCTGTTTTGCTATAAATGATATTATGAACTTGATAAAAATTTAAAAATTTTACTACAATATAATATAGTATAATCTGTTTCAACCTCTTTAAACAACTTATTCATCTAGTTTATAGATAATTTTATTAATTATTTGATATAACACTTGTATTTTAAAATGTGTTTTATAATTTTATAATTTCTGTATCAAAATATATATAAATTGTTATTTGTCAAATTTATAGGTACAGAAATATGGTCGTTTTGTAACTAATTATAGTATAAACTAAAAAAATGGAAACTATTCAAGGTCTGAAGAACCTCAATTTTTGATATTGGTTTTTGATTGGTTTAATTTTTTATGTTACACCTGATCTAGTCAATCAAAAGCCATAATTTGCGGATACACAGACATCAAGGTACTTTTGCCTTTACAGTAATGTCCTTCAGACAATTAGATATAACTTTATAATATGACAATGTGTTAAAAAGTTATATTTGATATTTGCTGTAATATCCGAACAACGTTATAATATTGATGCACACTGTAATATTTGATATACACAATAATATTGGCTTGTGCCATTAAATTTAACATATAACACAATATTTACATTATTATTATAGACACAAAATTAAGTTACAGGTACAGTATATGGTAAAAATTGCCAATCAAACTTTTTTTAAATAAAGCTGAACAAATTTATTATATTCTGAAGAAAATAATTGTTTTTAAGCATATGCAAAATAAATAAGATATAAATTTCTCTTAAACTTATTTAGAGATTAAGGTCTTAAGTACAACAGTACTATCATTTTTTATATACAATCTGCTGGAGTTGTTTTTCTAATTTATTAAATAGAATATATTTGAATGTATATTATGTATATTATACTTTAATTGTGTATTGTATTTGTGAAAAAAAGTTTATTTATATATGTCCACTATGTGATAAACCTAAAGCTTTAAAACCAAATATTCAATATTAATTTGATAATAGGAATTCTGATGGCATTATCACTATTGCGTGCTAAGTGTTGTTTTAAAATAAAGATTAGAAATTATAAGTTTTAGATTTTTATAAAATAATTATTTAAACACCTAATTATTTAATTCATCACTTAAAACATTGTCAACAAGATGTTCTGATCAAAGTCCATATTAATTTCTTCATTATTATTTGAAGAAATTGAGGTTTCATGCAGTACAGTATCTCTTTCTTGAAATATTAGATTACTCAAATTTACAATATCTTTCAAGATTAATTTGGTCTGATTTGATAAACTTTGGTTAATATCATATAGATCATCATCATCATTCTTTTCTTCATCTATAAAAAAATTATTTATTGATATGAGATTTACAATGCTACATAATTCAGAATCAGTTAGATTTGCTTCGAAATAAGTAAGTTTATTTTGTATATTGGTTATGCAATATGATCTAATTTTTGCTAATGCTTCAAGTTTTTCAATATATAGCTATATATAAACTATTTTAAAATTGAAAAATTTCTTTTACAATTAGCTTGTGATAGTAAAATGCTAAAGAGCCTTTGAGTGATTTCAAAAATATGCCATGGTTTGTTTTTTAAAGATTTTCACCATAACATTGGAGTATCAAGATCTTGAACATAAGGTAGATCAAATAGTTTTTTTTGGCTTCATAATAATGAATAAGTGAAATTAATTCTTTATACTCTTTTTCAAAATGTCCAAGGCTTTTCCATAAAACTGAAGCAGTTATGGCA